TATTATTATTATTATTATTATTATTATTATTATTATTATTATTATTACTGTACGATTATGAATAAGAATAATTTTGCATTAATTATATTTCACTCCCTCCCCCAAATCTCTTGTACTAATGATACCCTCATTCGTAGATCGAGCGCGTAACGGGCGTTCTTAACTTTACGCGGTATAATTGTTAAGTGTCTAGGATTATGTAAGAAAGCGTGTATAAGCGATAAGAAAGGGGCACCATCGGGATAACGAATCGCGGTGTGGTGAAATACAAAAAAAAAAAGGGAGAAGAAAAATATAGTAGAAAACGGAATCATTTGCAACGAAGTCTGATAATGTGTTTAGAACGTATAGATACACGTTTAAGAAGCTACTGGAATGTTAAACTTTAAGAACAATGAACGAATGCATGCAGCGTACGAAGCAGCGATGGGCAAAATTCGATTCGTATAATATGCACAGCAATACCGTTTCGAAACTAATCCTTTGATGGAAGTTGAATGTTTATTCGTTCATCTTAAGTATTTAATAATACTGAAGAACAAATTTTTTTATTTGTAACGAATAAACTTCTACCTATTTGAAATCTGTATTTAGATGAGAATTCTGCTTATCTCTGGTACAAAGTCCATTTGTATTTGACGAACGACGATAAAGAAGCACGAAGGGTAGTATAACCTTCGTTGACGCGATTACACAAGGATGTCCTTATTCAGTGTTATTAAAGTTTAACGTATCGAACATCGAATACCGGGTGTCAAAGGCTTGAAAAGGAACACCTCGATGTGCTCGTAACTTGAGATACTAAAATAGTACGCATACTTTATGTTACCTTCGTAGAAACAACCCCATCACGAAATTAATTTCGACTACTGTTCTCCCTGAGACACTTACGTTTTAGGCTACATAAGCATTAAAAATTCTTGATAACAATTACAATTAAAAATGTACATTTTGGTGTTACTTTTCTGGTGGTTGCACGTCGAAGCGCGGATTCTTGAAATAGCCGCAGAAGAAGTCGAAAAGCCGACCTAAAGTTCGATCGAACTCGTCCTCTTTCCTTTCCTCGAGACCAACGCCGTATGCCCCGAGGAAAACTCGCAAGTACCCCCTACCTCTCTCTCCTCCATCCTCCCCAACGGTACAGTCCCGATATACGGCAACAATAAGTAGGAACAAACAAATATGGAAACCAGTCAGAGAAACCATCCTCCCTCCTCGTCGGGGTGAGACTTCAAAGGGCATTTCTTTTTTTTTTTAACGCATCTCAATCGACAGGTGGTTCACCGAATCAGTCCCCTCTCTCCTAGGTTTAAAGATCCCAAACCCCCCTCCCACTCTTCTCGATGAGCCATCCCAAACCCTCCAGAGATTTTGTGTTTCTCCGTCGACAATCGCGAGTGCGAAAATCAAAAATGGAAATTTACGTCCAGCGTGCATTTTCGTTCGACTCTCGACGAGCAATTTGTACCGTCTAGCTGCGGCTGGGCGATTGGGATAATTTTTTTTTTTTTTTTTTTTAATCGTTTCTCTGTCGATGTTAATGTATATTTTTAATAAAGCGAAATTTTTAACTTAGCGTTGCTGTGAAAATGATTGGAAGCTCACGAGGATTTGAGTATACAGCATTGTGGTGTTTCATTGTTCCTTTAATTTGCATCAATTTCTATAAAATACCTGTACACTACATTTATGACTTGAAAGAAATACCGAAAAATTAAGTACTTCGTTTCTCTGTAAGTACACGAAATATTTGAATTCATAGCGTGAATTTAATACAGAGTATAGAAAGTTTTGTATACACCTCAGAGGGTCAATTTTTGATTAGAAAATTAATTATTCAAATTTTTCCAATCGCCTTGCCCCGCCAATTCGCACGATAAATATTACACATGGAACAGGTGAAACATACATACAAAATGCGTGAGAGAGAATTAGGTGCGTTTTTGTATGAGTGTGCGTCGGAGATAGGAAACTCTTCTCCCATAGGGGGGAAGAAAATGGAAAGCTTGTAATCGTGATCCGTGAAGGGTCGAACGAGGGAGAGAGAGTGTGAGAAAGTGTACAAGTAACATGAAAATATATGGGTGAAAGAGAGGGAGAGAGAAGAGAGAGCCATAAACTCGCTCGTATCACGATGTGTGTACTATATAAGATATACAGTTTACAATTATTTGTAATGGATACTTTTTATTTGTCAAATAAAAGTTAGTACAAATGAAGCTGAAGTGGATATGCTTGTTCCCCTTTATACATCTTATCAATTTTTTATTTTCAAGTGGCAAGTTATTTCTGGATTCTTTTGAAATATATCGTCGCTGATTAATAACATATCATCTTAGTATGTTTCCAAGTTGTATAAAGTTACAAGTTTGAAAGAAAGGACATTATGAAAATCTAAGAGTATTCATAATCCGTTCAATGATCAGTCAGTGGATACACGAAGTCGGTAATTAAAGTAATATTTTATTGAAATAATTTTTTACAATTCTTCTACGAGGTACAGTTTAACTTAGGAGATATCCTTGGTTCAATAAGAGACGCATCGACCAATTTCTCCGCAGTTTCCAGAGGATCGTCTTCGTCCTCGATAAAGTAATACGTATTTTTATCACATCCAGATATATTCTTCATACTTCGGGGTTACACAGTTCTTCGCTGGTTTTCTACCACAATTGAGCATTAAGACACAGGGGGAGAGTTGTTCAACACTTATTAAACAAATGGATACGCCTAGTTGCACTTGAACATTTCATCAATCTTACGATGAAATACCCAAAGTAAATTAAATTTTAATGATCTATTCGACTTTTAACATAAATTTAATTATATACATCTCTTCAAGATATCCAACAACTATCGATACAATTCAATATCAAACATCTGCTCTACGTCAGCGTTCGTCATTTAACTTCTACTTAATTAACTGGCAGTCCTCATTTTTATACAAATTAATCCCTAGCAGATCTATTATTCAAATCATCGAAAGAATCTTGACAACCTGAAGTCTCTATTTATTTAAAATTTCGTCTATCATAAAAGACAGTGGGCGTTTCATTTGGGTATTTCATCATTCGACGAGTTCACACCCGTTGCACTCAACAATTCTGATCGTGTTCATGCTGGTGGAAGGTGTCACGGTATAGCGAGCTGGGCGTGCGATGCATCATCGTCACATACGAGCTTCCTGACGCCGGTGTCGCCGTCGGATTCGGCGTTGGCGTCAACAACGGCGTACCCTGAAGACTAATGGCCAGAGGAAGGGCGGTTGGGGTGCAGAGGCTCATCGCGTTACGTCCACCCTCGGTCACCGAGCGGTATCTCGGTGGTCTGGCAAACCTGAAATACGTTCTACTTGCAGGAACTCGCATTATCATCGCATAATAGCGTTGTCAGGGGTCCCTTCGTGTTCTCTGGGTCGGAGATTGACTAAACTAAACTAGGAATTGACAAAGCGAAGCCAAGAGATATGAAGAAGGACCATCGCTTTAGAAGGGAAGCGTTATGGTAATTGCTTGGTAACTAGGTTTATTTTCAAGTGGGAGGTGTTTAAAAATAAAGGTGTCTTGTACTTGGGTATTGAAAATCTTGGGAGTTTGTTTGGGGGAGGTTCGGAGTAGAGGGACTTTGAAAGAAAGGTAAGGAGTCCCTATGGTGAGAAATCAAGAGATACGAAGAGGATGGGACTATGGCTTTAGAGAGGAAGCATTATAGCAACTGCTTGGTAAGTAGGTTTATTTTCAAGTGGGAGGTGTTTAAAGATAAACGTGTCTTGTACTTGAGGATTGGAGATCTTGGGAGTTTGTTTTTGGGAGGTTTAGAGTAGGAGGACTTTGAAAGAAAGGTAAGGAGTCCCTATGGTGGTTTAAGGGGTGTCTTCGTGCTAGGACAAAGTGGTTAAGGGTGAGAGTTACAATATGAATCTCTTTGGTAAGAGGTTTCTACTTCGCATGGCGTACCTGGAACACTTGCACTTCAATAGACGTATGAAGGCAGCCCTGAACGTTTTGTTAAATATGGTATAAATGACTGGATTGATGGTAGAGGACACGTATCCTAGCCAGAGACACGTGTCCACCACGTGGCCAGGCACAGGACACGTTGGACAGGCGGCGAACAAGATGTTCAGAAGGAAGAAGGGCGCCCAGCACAGGACGAAGGTGAAGAAGACAAGACCCAAAACCTTGCTGGCCTTCTGCTCTGTCGCCACTGCGTTTGCTGCCAGGGATCTTCTTTTCGTTCGTCCTGCTAGAAACCTGATCAATCAGATGGAAATTTAATAACGTTAAATGCTATATGAGAACATTTTAAGTATAAAAAAAAAGTGAAGGTACAAAACAAAAATACAAGGTACAAACATAAAAATATATAAAAAAAAAAAGAAAACAAGTCTAAAATACACGTCTCGACATATGGAATATGAAACATGCTTTTATTCGAATTTAAATTTTCTGTCTGGATCAGTATAATATTCCAATTTGCACGAACAGTGGCAGTCCACTGATTGGAAGACGCAAACGTCTTAACAATCTCGTCTCTGACATTTCCCTGATATGTTGACACAGTCTGCGGTAAGGTCTGAACAATTATCGGGGGAAGGCGACGAAGCGCGATTTGCATTCGCAAATAATAGGTATTCGTACTCCAGAGCTAATCCGGCACCGCCTCACCCCGAGGTAGCATGTTCCGTGTCAACGTTAATTCAAGATCAACTTAGAACGCGGAACCAGTCGTCGCGTGAAAATCCTCGGTCAGGGATTTCCATGGTCGAGCAATCTCTAAAGAGGAGGCATCATCGATTTTTCGCTGTTTCCATATTGCGAATGATATCTGGGAAAATTGGCACACGTCGCGCCTATATCACCATTAATATTTAATTTGATATTCCCCTTAATTGATATTTCCCTAAGTTTCCATTCGTAGAAACGAAATTTACGATACTGACAGCACTGATCGAACATCTTTTTACAAGAAAATTGGATACATTGTCGATTGTATATCTCTGACATTAGATTTAGATACTTCTAAACATTTTTCGATAAGCCAAATACCTGAGAAAACTGTCATAATCGATATTATCATTATTTGTTAGCTTTCCATAGATAATTTATTAACTCTATCGCACTCGGAACAAAGTATAGACCAGTAGCAACATTATATACAAGGTTTACCGGCACAATGTCGTTAATTCTCGCTTTATTTGATTGTTTCTAAACTTTCTCTGAACAATTTATACATTTTAGAACACTTGGAATAAAGTATACACCGGTACGAACATACAGGGAGCGATTTTGTTACGATTCTGATTGAAATTAAATATTTAGGTATTCGCGGTATTTCAAATTCAAAGTCGGTACCGCGGAATTCTGGGCGCCGACAGTGGCGCCATCTCGCGGTTGGATCAGGGAAGCTCGACTGGAGGTAGCAGGATCACAGAACAGGCAAAGAGGTTCACGCTCGAAACTGTGCGAGGGAGAAAGGTATAGTGTGAGAGAAGGACAGAGAGCGCCGACGCTGTAGACAGCACTGCGCATGCGCAGAGGGCGTGTATTTGGTTATCGATTGTTTATGGATCGTTTACAAATAGTTCATGAACTTTAGCGGACTCAAATTAAAGGTAAAGCTTCCAGGAATCTTCTCGTATAAGTGGATTGAAGAATCTTGCGCTAATTAAAAATTTATGAACAATTTAAGACAACCGTAGTTTCGGCAATGACGACAACGATCCTAATTATCGCTGATTAATCAATATTCTGGATATATTTGATGAATTCTGACATTCGTGGAAGGTAGCTCAGATCCTAAGCTACATTCAAAGACCGTTTTCATTACGATTTTGATCGAGTATAAATAATTATAAACAATTTTCGGAGACGGTGCGCGAATATGGCGTGTGTTAACGACTGTCCTTGAAACAAGAATCACTGATATATTATTAATAACAATCAAAATCTTAACGAAAATGGTCCTTGAATGTAGCTAATAAACCAGACTACCTTCCGTGAGTGTCAGACTGCACGAAATTATATGCAGAATATTAAATTATTGATAATTGTTATCGCTATCAACATAGTCCTCACTGCGTGTCTTCAGAAAGTGTTTCAAACTATCTAAATCGTACGAATCTAAGATAACTTGTATGAGAGGTTCTCTGAAAGTTTAAACTTTAAGTTGCATATATAAAAGTCCTTGAAGTACTCATAAGCGATTGATAATCAATGAAAGCAGGTGAACGTTTGGACTTGTCTCGGTGTCGACGACTTTTCAGTATCATCGGTACGACTCTTTGGTCATTCTGTTTACTACACTTGGCTAATTTATATTTACATGTTGACGAAGCCACCAATCGGGCAAAAGCATACCTGAGATTGAGGGTGTTAGGCGCGACGTTCAGTTGCAGTTTCAGGGCCCTCAAAGTGAAGTTCCTTGTTTCGCGGGCGATGTTCTCCGGCGTTTGAGTGGCTTGATCCACTTTCGACACCAGTTTCGTCCCAGCTGCGCTTCCGGTAGGACTACTAGCCCCGTTCACAGCGAAATTCATCTGCGGTCGCTGTTTGTCTTGTCTTCCACCCTTGTACCTGTTGTATTTTACACACGACGAGCTTTCATTAGTCGCCGCAATATTTTACGATTACAATGTACAATCATGCAGAAACCTCATTCGCAACCTTTCGAAAAATTCAATCAACCGCGTTCGAAATCACGCGGAGCATTCAAATCTCGAGAAAGCTGCGGCCGAAACCAATATTTACGGAGCTTTCGATGCTATTCCATTTCCCATCCTCTATATTCGAACGAACCCTGAGTAAAAATACAATTCTGCAAATTTCCATCCCCCATTTTTCTCGTTTCAAGTACCCTCGATAGCTTTTTCGCGAATATTATTCTCCGCCGTAGGGTTCGTTTTCTCTCTCTCCTAATTCGATCGTCGGGGCTCCCCTCGCAGCAATTTAAGCGTACGTCGGCGCCATTAGAGAAGAAAGGACCGACGATGGGACGAAAAAAAAATTGTTAATTCCATTAATGCTCTCCCAGTCGACGCCACGTCCTCGTGGGAGTCGAGTCGCGTTCGCCAGGGTCAACAGAGAAGACGCCCCGCGACGAGACGGCCTGCCACGCGGTAAATTAATTACCAGGGTCTGCGAGGGTACCGCGAAATCCACGGCATTGGAATAATAATTACGATTGCTCTACAACACAGAGATACATCGGCCATATCTTGTAAACAAAAAAAAAAAGAAACGCCTCCAGGACGCACGTGTGTGTGGCTCTTTGATTTCGCCCAACGGTGCCCGCTGCCTATTTCAAAAGTCTTTATCGCGAAATCCTGCGTGTACTCTTAATAAGTTTCTACTTTAAGACGATTACGTAATCACCCGCGTCATCGACAGCCATTTGCCATCTAGTGTGCAATTTTCAACGCCAGCTCGATAAAAATCAACGAGCTGATGAATGATAAATAAGTATTGAGATTTACAGGAACGACATTACTTTTCAGTCCACCTAATACCGATACTAAAATAATAGAGAATGGTTATAATTAGACTGCGGATCTTTATGCACAAATAAAATTTTCGCGAACGTGCCTACAAAAATTGAACCTAAATAGGAATTTATTTTATTCTGCAAATATCATAACATGAACTTTACTTTCAATCATTTTTACATTCTTGCATATTGTTCGCGTTTTGTAGTTTCTTGCAGATTTAAATTTCCTATAAATACATAAAGATCCGCGGTCTAGTTATAATACATCAGGATGATAGCAATTTAATAATATCAGAGTATGATACTCGTAATAACAACTAGGAGGTCGAATGCAACACCTACCTGTCGTTTCCAGGGCCACCGGAAGTCCTCCACGCGTGTCGCGTGGCCAGGGAGGCCGTGGTGGTTGTACCGGTGCTCGAGGTCGTCGAGGACGCCTTCGTCGAGGGGTATCTACCCCCCAACCTGCGGAACTGATCCCTCTCGGGATGTTCGGCGACGAAACGAGCCTGCTGCCTGAGCAACGGCACCGTCAGCACGTACGTCGCCACCATCACGATCATGGGGATGTAGAAAGCTATCAGCGAACCGAACACGAAGAACGCGCGGTTGTTGATCATGCACGTGCCTGGCCGCGGTACGATGTTCACGGGATTTATTATACCTGCAACAGAAACCTGCGTAGCACGCGAGGAAACCGCACTCTCGGGTTGCGATTTTCGAGTACGAAGAAGAGGGTAGGAGTGCATCCGAATACTGCAGACGACGAGGGATGAGGGAAACTTTGTGTTTAGGAAGTGTTTTAGGAAGTGGGTTCTAATGAATAAGTTCGCAGGTTGTGATTCTTTTTATAATGAAGAAAAGAAGGAAGCAACGAAATTCCAAGCAAAGAAACTCCAAGCAAGGAAATTCCAAGCTGGGAAACTCTAGAGCCCTAGGGTTGAATTTTAAGAAGGGATGCTTGTATTATTGATAGTGATGCTGCGAAGCCTGGCTATTCCACGCTCGTACCTTGGTCAAGATCGACGTCTCAAAGGAGAAACCTCCCCAAAAAAGGATTCGTGTCGTGACAAGACGAGATCGAATCGGACAGTAACACCGAAAGCAACGCACGAGTGTAAATTGAAGTTCGCCTAAGTGCCCCGACCGAGTGGAACGGTAAACGAGAAAGTTGCACCGTTTCACGACTCCTCGCGTTTCCCACGAAACGTCCTTCAGCATTTCGACGTTGTTCTGGGTACTGCCGAGTGACAGTATACATCGCGACGGGTCGATAAGCGATTACGTTTTTGCGCGATTCGACTGGTAACTGCAATTGTTTTTCGGATACAGTAATCGGACGGAGAGAAATGACTCGTGCTTGCTGCTCGACTTTTCGTGCATGGCGTTCAATTTCGTTCTTTTTCGACGATGTACACATTTCCGTTTCTACTGTGTCCGTCGAGGGTTTATGGAACTCGCGTGTGCTACCTGAAGAGCAGGGTAATTCGCGCGGGAGCACGAGGATCAAGGGATTATAGTTGGAAGGGTTGACTATCGTTGGTATCGACATACTTTCGACCTTTTGCGATGTTTGCGTGCTCTCAAAGGGCGTTAAGGTGGACTCGAGGTAGTATTTTCAGGACGAGTGTATAATTGAAAGGGGCTTGGGATTACTTTTTAACATCAAATAATTGGTTTCCGATCAGTTTTTAACTTGTACCGTGCGTGGTTGAATTTATTTTTCGAAAGAATCTTTCAGAAAAGAAATTATAAAGCAAAAATATCGACCTAAGTGATGAACACAACTGCTAGCGTTCGTGTCTGACCACGTACCTTCCTATACTACTTGCAGTGACTTTACGATACCACGTCTCAGTGTTTCCACGTGTGGACGGATTTGGTTGCATAGTCCTTTGTCTTCACTTACCTAATACTGTAATGGAACTAGAGACCAACATGGCGAGCAGCCATACGGCGGCGATCTTGAAGCCGACCATTCTCTTAGTGGACGTGTGCCGCGTCCTCAGCGGGTTCCTGATGCCCAGATAGCGGCCCAAGGAGATGAAGCACATGTGCATTATGCTCGCAGAGCACGCCAGCACGTCACACGTCACGTAAACGTTGCACCAGTGCACGCCAAACGGCCAGTATCCTGGGACAGAACACGAATAGCCCTTCTCAGACCCCACGAGACTCTTTAATCGATCTCCCATCTATCTTCCTCACTTTTAAAATGAATCTTGATTGTATTCTACCCACGCTATTTTAATTATCCTTGGTCTTTCTTTATTTGAAACAAGAACAAAAATATATGTAATACGAGTGGATAGTTCAAATGGCTTTACATGATGGGCTGTCGATGACTACCAGCTACTGTCTCTCGACATTTATTGTTAGCCCTACAAACAAAAAAGATACGCCTCCCTTCCACCGCACATGCATGTACCCTTTAGATTTCGGCTGACGCGACGATGGCCGTGTACTTTAAAAGCTGTGCCGCCTTTATCGCGCTATTCTACATATATGTATCATCCAACTCTACCAGCGATGAAATTGAAAAGTTCTCTGCCTTGCGATCGAAGTTGGAGGACACCAAGTGTATCGAGGTACCCATCGCGTAGGAAAGACACAGGATTTTATTGGAAAGTGTATCGAAGGCAGAGAGACGGCAGGAAAGCAAGTAAAACGGATACAAATGGAGACAAGGGAGGAAATTGTAATACAAATTGAGAGAAATGGATGTATATCGAAATCGCGGAGGGTACCCATTTTTATTTCTTTCGTTTGACGCGACGGTGCAGGCAAGCGCGACACGTCAGTTACATTCGCTGTGAAAATAATTAAATATGAATGTAAAGTGCAGCAAAGTGATCTCGAACGAGGTATCCCTCCGCTCCTCTCCCTTATTTCCTCTACTTTGTGTTAAAATGTAAACGCTACGGTTGCGTTATTTGTTTTCTGAGCAGCGTATGCCCTGCTGTGGCTCTTGCTAAAAGTGAGCAGCAACACGCGCTTTCAATCAAGAGGTGCTTCATTGAGTCTCCAGCTTTGCATTCGTACCGATATTACTGGTCCAAATTTTAACCATTATTGCACCTCTGAGAATAAATTTCAACTAGGAAAACTAGCTCAATTCTGTTTACGAATTTTGGATGAGGAAGATAATGGTAATATATAAATATCATGATGCAGATCACAGTGTTACATGATGATGTAATAATAATATGATGGTAATATGGTAATGACAATAAGATAATAACACTAGCGATAGGAACCCACGGGTATAATTCATATTACGAATACAGAAATATAAATAAAAAGTAGCTGCATGAAATGCAGCACATTAGAAGTGTAACTTCTTTATTGAAAATTCGATATTGACACTATAATACCCCCAACGAGATACCAACAATGTGTTAATGATGATTGCAGAAAATACGAAGAGAATCCCTGAATCGTCCGAGTATTTCAAGATCCCTCGCACGTGACTTTGAGAGCCAATCAAGCCTGCGATTGTTCCCAAGGAAACTTAGCAAATGGAGGTATTGTTTCCACGTGAATTGGCTTAATTCCCCGCACATCCGAGTCTAATAATATTCCATTGAAATTCCGCCGTGTCTTTCGTCACTGGAAGACACCACGAACCCAGAGGATCAGTGAAAACATTTAAACTTCGCTTCTGCCTCGAGTTACTCCGCGATTTTTGTTAAGATATCAGTCGAGTTATTCGGTCCATTCGTTACGGAGTTACTCATTTTAACGCACGCTCATTAAAAGCCAGATACGAGGAATAATTTTGTGTTATCTCGAAATAATTCTCCGCGAAAAGGACCCAACTGAATTCCAAATTTCGTGGCGGATATCTGGGTTAAAATTTCTTGGATACGGCATTCAGAAAGGGGCTACGAAAACCTTCCATTTGTCAAATGATTTCTGAAATAATAGTTTCGACGCTTTTTCTGTGGTTTCAGAACCTGTAAGGTCGTCTGGAGTTGGATTCAGCGCGGTAGAAATTAACGAATGCTACTTGCCTTTTTGCTAGAGAACAGGAGAACGGTGTTTTTCAAGATTGGTGAAGTCTGATGGGGAAATTAGAGCGTAATCGCGGGAAAAATTCTCGCCTCAATTTCTTGTGGTACTTCGCGTCGCGTTAAAGAGATCGTATCTTCCACTGCACTTGCTTTTAAGAGGAAAAGTTAAAGGATGGATTAATTTCAACTTACTTTTTGCTCGTTAATGCATCTCTGTCCGATATTCGAACGTGAAATTAACGGAGTTTAACGAGGAAAACAAGTTATTGCTACCAGTTACGACGCATTTATTTCATCTTTTACAGTTTGGAAATTTTCACTTCGATCGAGTTATCATGCACGTACGAAATGAAACTATTAGGAAACTTTAAGAGCTGGAAATTAGAAGTTTCTAACATTAATGAAATATCAGGAATCTTCTGATTTCGCCACCTGAATGTCTACACGTGATGCAGCTAAATCGAGCGTGCAGCAAAGTTCTGAAATCGCCACAGAAATTATGTTTGCATCTTCTCTTCCAATTCGTAAACAGTTCGCCCGAATATAAAACAATGAAACATTATCAACCCGTTGCGTGGGCAGCAAGGATGAAGATCTGACAGTGTCCAACCATAAGAAGGAATTGGAAACTTTCGATCTTTCTACTCAATTGGTACCACAATGCACAGAGTGGAGCACTCAAGACGGATCACCCGTGCGAATCTAAAGATAGAACAACACATGTGAGATCGAAATTATTTCAGTTTTCATGGAGGACAACGCATTAGAATTTTTTTATTGCACACTCAGCAGGTCTGCGGGTGAAGTTCAGAGTTCAAAGAGACTTTGGAACTATAAATTGTATTATTTCGAGTTCTTGTATCGTTATTAAAATTTATTAAAAACTCCGTGACCCTTGTCTCTCTGTGTCGAATATCTTCATCGAGAGATTGCGAGAGTTAGTGCGTAAATCCGTCAATTTCGACTGACGAGGCGAACAAACGACATCAAAGGACGTCAACGTCAACGGTTCGTTTACATCAGCGGTGTTTCGCGGACTCTTGAAAGCGACTGTTTCTTTGCATTTCCGGCAGATCGAGCGGGCACGAGCCACGAGAATTATCGGGATTCAGTTGGACGATTGAAAGCTCTATGGTTTACTAGCTCTCAGCTGGAAAGCGAGCGAGAGCAACGCGTGGAAATCGATTGCTTACAACGCGCCTCTGTCGGACTCAGCGTAAGCAAACAGTAACCAAAGAATGCGCGTGATGAAAAGCATTTTGGGAAAAACGCATTCCTGGATTTGTTTACGCGTAGTCGATTCGTGGTAGAAGACATTTAATGCATTTAACGCACAGTCGGGAAATTCCGAGCTAGGAAACTCCGAGCAAAGAAATTTCAAGCAAGGAAACTCTAGAGTCGCAGTGGTGAATTTTAAAAGGGGATATTTGTATTATCGATATTAGAACTGTTACATAATTTTGTAAATTAACATTGTTTTCCCAATTTCCCAATTTCGTCGTTAGTGGTGTTCCTTCCAAGAACAACCATTGGCTTCCGCGGTTCCTTGATACTTGGGATCGACAGGTGACGCGTATAACTATTTCCTGAAAGTCATGAGGCACACTTGTTCGCATAATTTTGTATCTAATGAAATTCCTCGACGGCAAACCGCTTCGGTGTCGCGTCTACTTCGACTTAATAAAGCCTTCGTGGAAATTTTTGCTGCCAGTTAACCCATAACCTTGGACCATTTGTGGTCTCGAAAGGAAATGTTGGCGTTTCCCTATAAACATCCAACAAAGCACGTGTAACGCTTCGATTCTCCAAATCGCTTAGATCCTCGGCTCCTCCATCTCTCGAAATCTCAAATCCCCAATCATCTCGTTCATTTTTCTTTCATTTTTCTATGGTATAAAGCCAATAAAGTCTACCGATAAAAAATGTCAAAAAAGTAAAAAGAATTACGCCAAGCAGCACTTTGGTGGTAAAACGAAGAAACTAAATAGCGTATCTGCCACAAACTGAGACTGTTTCGAAATTTGCCTAGATTTCCGCGGCATGGAAGTCAATTGCTTGCGTCGAGACTCTACCGCTTCTCTAGATATTCATTAAAACAAAAATAACATCAGTTCAAACTGTTCAATGAAAATATCGGAAACGCCGGATTTCCTTTTAACGGATAAACCAACGATTAAAAGGAATGGCTTTCGAAGAGTATTTTTTTTACTGCCGACACGACTACGCTTTCAGAATGTTAAATCCGGGAAACACAACCGTGTCTCCAATAAATTGCACGGTTCGTTTTGGGATTGACGTGATTGTGCTAATATTGTTACAATTCTGGAGGTGTAATTGTAGTATTGACAGAAGAATAACAGCAACTTCTATTACCTCGACAATTTTAAATATACATTACTAGTGTGTATAATTGAATTTAAAAACAACAAAATCATTACAAAATTACACTTATCATTCAAAATATTCATTCAAATAAAAAAAGTAAATAAAACGATCAAGCCATTCCCCAGTTTCCATTAGAGATTTTTCCAGTTTATTACAGGAAAAAAACGAGCTCCGAACCGAAATGTTACAGGTTAAGTAGTACGAGTCGATGAATCGTCAGACCACTTCGATTCCTCTTCCTCGTGCCGTGAACCTTTTAAGAAAGCCACACGCCACATTCTACCTCGGCCAATGAAAATCGTAGCTCGAATTTTAAGCAGGTGTACCTGAAATTAGAACTTTGCCCTTCCTACGTTTCATTGCAATAAATAAGTCATCGATCCACGATTTTTTAAACGATTTAGAACGACGATTTTCCAAAATTAAACACACCGTGCACGTTGAGTGCTTCGGAATGCGAATGGTTGATCCATACATTTCGCGCACTCGACAATACGATGAAAAGATTTCACGATGAAAAGACTCATACCGAAAATGAAAATACACCAGCCCTATTGGAGAATTTGCGGACTCACAAAAGAGCATTACAACGTTTCTGGCCCTTCGAAGCACTATTATAGCCCGTGGAGTAAACCCAGGAACCTTTCGATCCCCATTCAAGGCTGAACATCGACAAATACAAGTCATTCGCAGAATACTCAGCAGAATAACAATCCGATAACAATTTCTTGAAAAA